TCGTTGAAGTTACTCGAGCTCTTCTTCTTGCTTCATATGTTCCTTCTTCTTTCTGGCCTGAAACTGTGTCTACCGTTGTCCGTCTCATCAACTATCAAATCACTCCCATTCTTGGTCAGCACAACCCTTAATATAAAATGTATTCTAAACACCCACCTTACTCCTGTCTTCGTGTTTTTGGCTGCATGTGTTTTGTTCTTCTTCCTCGCTCTGAACGAACCAAATTGACTGCCAAAACTGTCCGATGTGCGTTTTTGGGATATAGCGACATCCACAAAGGATACCTCTGCTATGATCCCAATCTTTGTCGGATACGCATTGCGTGCAATGTCGTCTTCTTTGAGGATATAATGTTTTACTCTTCCTCCACATCCACGTCGACTCCTCTTTTTGATACTACAATGAGCCTTCCTTCCTTTCCTGAAGATGATGATGCCATTTTTAATGATGGTGATGATATTTTAATGAATGAAGAAGAAGATGATACGCCGTCCCCGCCGCCTAGTCCCCCTCACCTGTCTCCTAGCCCCTCGACCCCAGCGTCACCACCACCTGGTCCTCGGCGGTCATTGCGAGGTAACAAAGGGCAGCATCCTGCCCATTTTCGTAATTTTGTTTCTTTTCAGGTGGCTCCGGTGTCGATTCCTACTCGCTATTCTCAAGCTAAAGGTGACTCGAATTGGGATGGCACCATGACTACGGAGATAGCAGCTCTTCTTGCCGCCCACACATGGGACCTTGTCCCTCGACCTCCACCTGAAATTCCGGTTGTCGGCAGCAAATGGGTGTACAACATCAAAGTTCATCCGGATGGTTCGATAGAGCGGTTTAAAGCCCGTGTCGTTGCTCAAGGTTTTACCCAGGAGTTTGGTATTGATTTTGAGGATTCTTTTGCTCCATTCGCCAAGATAGTCACCGTTCGCACTCTCCTTGCTGTTGCCTCTCTTCGGGGGTGGCCTCTTTATCAGCTCGATGTTAAAAACGCATTCCTTCACGGTGATTTCAAGGAGACAGTCTACATGGAACCCCCCACCAGGGTACTCTATTGGTTCCTCCGATCAGGTGTGCTTGCTCCGTCGCTCCATTTATGGTTTAAAACAGGCACCTTGGGCATGGTTTGCCAAGTTCCACACCACTATCTTGGCTCTCGGTTTTCGCCAAAGTCTCAATGACCACTCATTATTTATTCGTCAAACTTCTCGAGGCATTGTTCTACTACTTCTCTACGTCAACGATATGATAGTCTCAGGGGATGATGAGGTCGGGATTCAGGATTTGACAAAGAGCCTTCATGAATCTTTTCATCTCAAGGAGCTTGAATCACTCTCCTACTAATTGGGACTCGAAGTTACTCGTTCCTCGTCTAACGTCTGGGATTTTGCTCAACCAGCGTAAGTACATCGATGACTTACTCGATTCAGCACGGTTCGGCGACTGCATTCCCGTGGCCACTCCTATGGAATTGAATGTAAAGTTCAGTCGGGATTCGGGTGATTTACTTCCTGACGGAGGGAAGCAGTATCGAAGTATTGTGGGATCTCTTATTTATCTGGCATCGACTCGCCCTGACATCGCCTTCGCAGTTCAGATAGTGAGTCAATTTATGGCCGCCCCTCGTACTACTCATCTCGCTGCCGTTCACCGGATATTGCGGTATCTTCAGGGCACTCGCGATGTTGGTCTCTTTCTTCCTTCTACAGGGCCTTTGGTCTTGCAGGCATTTTCGGATTCAGATTATGCAGGATGCATCGATACTCGCAAATCTACTACATGGTGGTGTATTCGTCTCGGAAATTTGTTTATATCTTGGCGATGAAAGAAACAGTACCGGGTGTCTAAGTCCTCTACCGAGGCTGAATACCGGACATGTCTGATGTTACGTCTGAGCTTGAATGGCTACGTCGCCTTCTAGGCGATCTTGGCGTTGAGTGTGCCGCTCCCATGGAGATCTATGTTGACAACACCAGTGAGGTACGAATTGCCACCACTCCGGTGCTTCACGATCGCACTAAACACATTGAAGTCCATATCCACTACATTCGAAACTTAGTCCGTGCTGGCACTATTCGGATATTCTATGTTCCCTCGGAAGACCAGATTGCGGACTTGCTTACAAAATCCTTCTCGGCTGCTCGACACTCCTTCTTGGCTGGCAAATTGATGATGAGATCACCTTCCCATCAATTTGGGGGAGGGTGTTGAGATATAGGGTTTTAATGTAAGGGCCTTTGGCCCATGGAGTGTCTCGGCCCACAATGTAATGTCGAGAATGATCGTAGCATTCGGCTAGGGTTAGGGTATGGCTTCAATGATGTATAAATATGTATCTGTGTATACGTATGGGAGCGAGGGAAATAAGAAAAGTAGAAAAGCTTCCCGTGGACTAGTCTTGTTCACAACGAACAAGGAAACCAGGTAAACTCGTCTCGATCCTCTTTGTTTTGCTTCGGCTATTGCTAATCTTGTGTCGATTATCAAAAACGATACCTTTATACAAGCTATGGAGAAAAAGAAACATAAAATATCTTTATTTGACTAGAATATTTGTTGGGTAAACGTTGAATGTGAGATAATCTCGTATGGAATATTACTTTATGTGAGATGAAATATTAGTTGAACTAGTACCGGAGAAGAGAATTGAGTTTACACTCATATGTTCAGTGTCATATATTCAATATTAGGTTAATGTATAATCAAATCAACATATATCAGTTGCAATCATATTCAATACTATGTAAACTCATATTTAGTTTCAACTCATCATACATATATTGAGGTAAACTCATATCCAATTTCATTTAAGCTCATTCCATACATCCAACTCATATTCTTTTGCATGCTACTCAAATTTAATACCCAACTGAACTAATTACTTAAGATACTCAGTATTACTACGTGAACTTACATTGAATATGAGTTGTTCTTATACTAAATATGAGTTGACTTGGTACTAAATATGAGTATCAAATTGTTGAATATGAGTTTCTCTTTACTGAATATGAGTTGCTCAAATCGTTTAATATTTTTCTTATACGGAATATGAGTTGTCCCCGCTTTTGAAGATCACCCGGATCCTTGCATTAGCCGCCGGTTTTGCTTAGGTGGTGATGGAATTGGGGGAAGATCGAGAACACATAAAAAAATACATGTAAAGAAGTCAGTGCCGAAGGGGAGGGACTCACAAAGATCGTCGATCTTCCCGTAGATCAAAGGGACGCTCAACGGAAGTAGAAGGTCTTCGCTTAATTACGTGCTATTATTGTTTTCTTTCCTTTTTCTTTTCTCATTTGCTCTCCTGCAAGCAGATCAACATGGATGACCTCCCTCGGAGTCGCGTGATATAGAGGGAAAAGAAGACTGATAGATCTACTTTCCATGGAGCTTAGGAAACCGAATCTCCTACAAGCATTGTATCCTTGTTTCCTCCCTTGCTGCTCATTTCCAAGCCTCACAAAAGACGACAGCTCTGTGAGCAGGTTTTTTGGCGGAATCGAATGATCTCCTTCCCGTAGCACGGTTGTATCGACTCGAAATGCGGACACAAAAAATTAGAGGAGACAAGCACCAGTGAATGCTGAGATGAATCAACAGCGTCCTGTTCACTAGTTGTCGCCTTCCTCGTCATAGTAGAAGAGAGAAGAAAAATTAATTTCGTTATGGGAAGATGAAAATGAAAGAGAGAGAAAGATAACATAAAATGGAAAAGAAGTAAAAGAGAGAGGAGGGGAAAGTAAAAATGAAGGAGAGAGGGCAAGAGAAAGCCTTGGCTTGGCTCACTCAAAAGTCAAAGCCAACCAAAAATCTATTTTCCAGCCTTTCTCCAAGCCAATAATTATCTGCCACTCAAATTTCCCTTCGCCGACATGGCTCAATGAAAACCTTTGAGCAAAACCTTGTGCACCATAGCGAAATCCGCAAGAAACTATAACAAGAGCACTAGAAGAAGGCTGGAGGTGATAACGTGCTAGAGGTACAAACGTGGTAGAGATGGAGGTCGTAAGAAACTATACCAATACCACAATAAGATGGTTGGAGGTACACGTGGTAGAGCACGTATACATATAGCAAGAGTAATAATTTGTGATCATCAAAAGTAATAAAAAGGGTTGTAATTTTTATAGTGTTGAGTGTTGCAAGTTGTGAGTATTTTCTCTCTTTAGCTAAAACTTGCAAGAGTGAAATTGTGTAATCTACTCTAGTCCTATCAAGGGTTTGAGTCCACCCCAAATAACTCAACTTGGAGTTAGATTCACTAATTAGATAGAAACCTAGGAAACTAGGTGTCAAAGGGTGTGACACCTTTGAGCCTACATAAAATAATATGTTGAACTCGGTTAACAAAACAATTGATTGTCTAGCAAGTTTATTTTTTAATCTGTTGAATACAATAATTAATTGTTCAAATTTGGTATTTCCTTTAAACTTTATATTAAGTATTACAACTTAAAACAATTCATGTTTATTCTATATTGTGTATTCTTTCCTAATTGATTGTTTGATTTCATCTTTCATTTATATCATCCTCTGTTGTCCAGTGCGCTAATTGAAACTAACTCCATAATAGAAAACCTAAAGCATTCACTAATTATGTCTAGTCAGTTCAGTTGGTTGTTTCATGAATTTTTGATAGTTGCTCAACAATTATGATTATTTCGCTCATGTATTGTGCCCTAGCTCAAGAGAAATAAATATGGGATAAAAGATCGTAGTTATGTTTTTTCTATTTAAATATTTATGTTAAATTTTTTCATGTAACTTTTTTTTATGTCAGTTTTCATTTCAACCACAAATAACTAATTAAAATTACAATGTACGATCGTTGATAAAAGGTTATTATAATTTTATATTGAAAATAATTTTGATGTCACGTTAATATCATATGAAATTGTTCATTTCAAATAATTAAAAAAAACTAGGATAAACTTTATGATACAATATATCCAAATGACAGTCTGATCAACGAATCAGACACCAAACCAGTTATTTTATTATTACCACAACTTTATTGGGGTAAAAGAAAAATAAATAGCTTCGTTGAAATTTCAACTTTAGATGGAGACGTGGACAAAAAAAAAAGAAATTTGTTTGGATAGAGAGAGGGGAAGGTGGATCCGAGCCCGCCGGGACCGGAGCTCACGTTGGCCCGTACAACTTCCTTTCTCGCCATTCCCTCTTTCCCGGACGATGAGAGAGCTCTCAAACTGCTCTGCTATCAACACACGCAAAAAACAACCGCTCTTCTCTTTTCTCTTTTTTAACACTCTTTGCTTCTTCCCTCCCCACATTCAAAACCTTCCAGTCTCCCTTAAATTCCCTCTTCGTCAACTTCTCCTTTCATTCTTCCGCTCCTTCCTCCCACTTCCATTGAGCTCCCCAAAACCCAAATGCCCGCTTCTTCCCCCAATCACACTCACCAGGCAAGCTTGATTACACACCCGCTCGCTCTCTTTCCTCTCGGTTTGGTTCCTTAGGAAAAGTAACGTTGAAATTCTTTCTTTTGGGGTTCCCTGGGTCCATTGATGGAAATGGCGGTTGTGGGTGAAGTGGGATGAACAGAAAGTTCCAATCTTCTTGTGTCTAGTTTGAGGGTTTCGCTTTTTATATATATGATAGAAAGTTGGATGTAAAGAATTGAGCATTGCCTCATATTTGCCTTTGGTCCAAGTTTCGGCTTTAGAACCTTTGAGTTGATGCATTGATTGTTGTCCCGTCACATTGTTCATCATTTGGAGAGATTGAAGCAAGTTCTGGTTTCTTTTCTGGTATCTACGGTTTTCTGCTTTGCTTAATCACATTAAAATGAATGGACCGTTCCATCTTGGATTGGGCTGGAGTTAGATAAGAATGTAACTTGCGCTTTCTTGATGAAGCTTGATTCTGGAAAGTTGGAAGTGTTTGTCGAAGGTCTCTAATCGACATTGTATCTTTTGTTCATTTGCAGGTCTAGTTTCTAAGTGAAATGATGCAAAGGATTTCGGGCTCTTGGAATCCTAAATCAACGGCTTGGATGAGGGCATTTCCGATGTGTTTTTCTTTACTACGAGCCCATCGGCATGGAATCCATGCCTTGAGTAGTCTTTGGCAGGATAGCTTGCACAGAACAAGTAAGACACATGGAAGCCATTGGAGGTTTAATGTGATTAGTCCCAAACCGAATGAACTTGAAGGAGGGTACAGTAGAAGATGGATTAGAAGTGCTACGACATTGAATGACACAAGACAGCAGCTTGCTGAGAGGAAAGACCTGCACAAGCTCTTGACGGTCATTGTGTTTGATATCGAGACTACCGGGTTTCAAGGGCAGTTTAACCGGATTGTCGAGATTGCATTTCGTGATCTGGGAGGTGGCGAGAACAGCACGTTCGAGACCCTTGTTTATCCTGAACGTCCAATCTGTAACTCGTATTTTCATGGGATTAACGATGACATGGTCATGAAAGATGGTGTTCCTAGGTACGTCTCTCTGAATGCACCCTTGTCCTTGAACTACTAGCTGCTTGTTAAGTAGTTCAGCACTTACTTAGCATTAAACCCTTTTGAAGTTATGACAACAACTTATGTCAACTGCAGGATGGAAGAGCTGATACCGATTATGGTACAGTATATAGAAAGTCGTCGAAAGCAAGATGGCCATGTACTGTTAGTAGCTCATAACGGTCGTAGTTTCGACGTGCCATTCCTCAAGTGCGAGTTCGAGCGGTGCAATTCGCAGATTCCTGCTGATTGGTTCTTCTGTGATAGTCTCCCTCTGGCGCGCAAAGTCTCGAAAAATCACTGAAAGCTCTGGTACACAAGTATAAGATCAAGTTGGTGGGAAACCCACATAGAGCCATGACAGATGTGAATGCACTGTCAGAGATTGTGCCGAAACTAACTCACGATTCGAAAGTCTCGATAGCCGACTTAGTCAAGGACTCATTCACAGTCTCGGAGTTGAGCAAGACGCGTTCCAAGAAGAAAAAGCCGGCCAGTAAAGCTAAGTCAGAGACTTCAGAGCAGAAAGTTTAGTAGAAGTCTAGACCATGGCGTTCACCTGCAGTTTATTTGCAGTAGTATGCCTTGCTTTGTTTCTCTGTTACTTCCTTGTTGCAAAATCATTGATTGTACATTCCCAGGCTGCCTTAGGCCATTTTGATGCCTAATGGCAGCAAACATTATTGATGCTAAATCAAACTAGCTTTTCACCTCAAAACTCAAAAGAGATTCAATCAAATCCCTAGTTTCATTGAATAACTAGATATAAATATTATTCTTTTAGAGATCCTTACGAGATGATTTGAGTGACCAAAATATCATGTCCTAGCTTAATCTTGGCAACATTAACCTAACAATTTTAAAGGCTTTCGGGATCACTTACAAATTGGTGCCTCTAATTTTTCGATGAATTATGTCACCAAAGTTCGAAGCAACTATCCTTACCAAAAAAAAAAAAAAAACCAGAAGTTCCAAGCAACTAATATGACATTCATTTCGTGCATTTCCCTCACGTTGTTCATCCATATAAACTATCATATAAACTCACTCTCTTCCCTCAAGTTTTTCATCCATATAAAAGTGTTAACTCAAATTAATACTACAAATATCTTATAAACCCACTCTCTAATCATATATCGATTAGAGGAACAAGGACTTATGATGACTTATACTAATGTGATTATGATTGGGTTTAGTAACACGTTGATATGGATCATTTTTATTTTTTATATTATCTGACCTCTATCCGAAGAACATTATAAAAATAAAAGAAATAAGACCAGCAAGAGCCCTTCTTATATATTAGAACTGTTATTTTTCCAACCAAAATAGTGAGTTAAATGGATTGTCCGTGGTGGCTTTATTAAAGCCTATTTGTTTTCATTGTTAGTTTGATCGAGTTGATACACCATTCTAGACAATTCAGAAATTCGATTTAATGAAGACTTCAGGCGAGTAATTATCATGTTATGGTATTTGAAACTTTACTGACCAGTTTGTTAGAAAACAAAATTCAGCGACCAAATATGACACGAAGTTGAATGACCAGTTAAATAAATTAACCCAAGGAGAACTCTGAATCCAGCAAAGCTGGTGCTTCAAGTATCACAGCCCACAAGGATATCCCTATTTCACTAGACAGACATAACAAAGATAATTAGGGTTGGGATAATAGACCAGACCATTAGAAAACCATGGTTCAAATTGTACCGCACAGTTTGGTCCGGACCGTATACCGTTAAGTATAGTCTGGTTTGGTCCATGGTATGTATCTCTTGGTCTGGTCTAGACCGCGGTTTACCGGACCAAACAGTGGACCCAATCGACTTGTCAATACATGTTAACAGCCCATTCGACCCAACCTTATTTTATGTTTTGATCTCTTGGTCTGGTCTGGTCTAGACCGCGGTTTACCGGACCAAACAGTGGACCCAATCGACTTGTCAATACATGTTAACAGCCCATTCAACCACTCTCCCAACTCCCACAACGACACCCAAGTCTCAACCTTAATTTTGTGAATCTCGTTCCTCCTTCATTCAGAACCACACTTAACCAGATAGTAAAGATAATCGTGTCTCCATATGACATTATGTTAATGTTTATAATGTTATGGTGCAAGTTGGGATGCTTTTACTTGATATCTTTGTTATATACTAAGATTTAGGGTATCAAATTTATTCATGCATGTTAGGATTAATGTTTTAAGGCAAATAAAATTATTTTTCTTGATTATTGGTTCAATTGTTTGTGTGGTTGACTAAACAAATTGTTCTTTTTTCGTTGAGTATGGTCTATCTGGACCAGACCAGACCGAACCAGACCGCACAAGCGTGGTCTCGAACCGTATAGTATATTTCGTGGTCTGGTCTGTGGTCTATACTTCAGCCTTTCGGTCTGGACCATTGACCGTATATATAGTCTGTTCTGCACCAGACGACACCGTTTCCCAGCCTTAAAAATAATATCGGGTACAAAAATCGAATTGATTCCCCCACAAGAAAAATAAGCAAATTGGGGAAGCAATAAGTCACGGTTCTGCCTGGGAAAATAGAAAGGCAACTGCACGAGGTTTTAGCTCTATACATTCATTCACTTTTGCCACTGCCAACTTTCATCCCACACCCTAATCCCATCCCTACTTTTTTCTTGCCCACATTCTACAAAACCCCGAAGCACGTAAATGTGTATATTATGTATATATAATGTATACAGAGGTTACCAAGAAACTCTTCTTCTGCTGGGCAAAAACAAAGTGTCCATCCATCTTCATAGCGTTCGTTGTGGTAAAACGGCAGAGCTGGTCAGGGTGATGAAACGACATTCTTTCGGTGTTAGCTCGCAGCTCAGAATAGTATTTCTTTGAGGATCAAAAGGACTAACATGATGAAGCACATAATTACGAGCACCGTAGCACACATTACCATTCCCCCTTGCTTCTGTGATCTCTCAGCCTGCAGGAGAGAACGAACATATTCGATGTTGCATAAGATGGCAAAGCAAACTAACAGGTCAATTGTTGACAAAATTGTCAACTGGTGGAGAGATTTCAATATCATCAAGCAAACCCCAAAAATCCACCCATGCCTATAGTTTGCAACTGTCTCTGGGCCACAATTCACCACCAATTGAGACCATCTAAAACAGTACTCGGTCAAATCCACCTGTTGATGGATTTGGGGGAACAATCCACCACCCAAATCCAACAGCTACATGACCCTTAAAGTAGTTTTGACACTAAAGTATCGACATGAATTATAATGCGAGAAGCTGTACCTTCTGCAGCTGTTTAAGCCCTTCCTCGACTGTAGTTGCGACATTCTGAACGTTGTAGTCTATTCTATCAACAATAGTACCCTGGCTCGGCACAAAACGCTTAGTTAGTTTGCTGCTGAGGACTGGAAACAAAGATGCCGAGGATATTTGATCGATTACCCACCTGGTCTATCACAAGTACTGACAAGTCCTTCATGATTTGAGCAAGTTCGTTTACAGACTCCACAACCTAAGAAATATCAATGGATAAGAGAACAGATTGAAGTAACTCCACATTTACAAGATCTAAAAGCAACAGGTGTCTCACTCGCCTGTTGAATCTCTCTCTCCCTTTCTGCAGTAAATGCCTCGGTCTTTTTCACTCTGGCCATTTGAAGATCACTAAACGCCTGCATAAAATTATAACAAACAACTTACTAGCTCATTCTGAAAATATGAAGGAAATGGTGCAAAAGGACCTAAAAGAAGAAACAGCAGAAGTAAAAATGGGGTTTGAAATAGGATATACCATGTCATCTAAACCATCCTCATCATCAATTCTGGATCTATTACCATTAAGGTTCATCTCCAAGTCAACCCCATCTTGACCCTGAGTTGCAAGACAAAAAAACAGATGAAATGAGCCCATGCTGGAATCAAAGGCTATCAAGTATCAATAACTAGATACCTAAAGCTAAAGTTCGGAAGAAAAGGTTGGAATAGAAGTTTTCCTGAAGTGGACTCCTAGCCTCTCATTTGATTTTTAGAACAAGTTATTACGAACCTCTTTTTGCTGCCTGAGGCGCTTCAAGTAGGTTGATTGCTTCTTACGAAGTTCCATAGAAAGATTCTGAAGGTCTGTGGCTAGAGAACGCTGAGATGAAAACATACTAACATCAGCACAAGAACTTCTGCTAACCAGTAAAAAATACATTAGAAGCTCGGGATCCAGTCAAATTAATATGACGCAAGTTAATATTCCTTTTCACTAAGCAAAGGCAAATGTGCCTCCCTGGAAGTGAGTCAAAAGGAAATTGGAGAGAAGACTTAAGTAACGGGTCCCAAAGGACCCAAAAGTACATAGAACTAGGTTATACCTGAACATTTTTCCTGATATTTGAATCTTCTGTTGGACCCCCAGCAGAAAGTCTCTGCAGCTTCTTCTCTGATTTCTTTATAAGACCGGTTATCTCGTGGGTTAAACCCTCAATTGTACGTTGGTCTTCTTTACCATCTCCAAATGAAGGCATTAATGCTTTGGCATGAGCCTTGGCTAACTCAGCCATTTTCGTCCGAGCACGTTGCACATTTGCTGCTATGTCTTCCGATATGTCAACCCAAGCAGGTGGTAGACCAACTGTTAGTGCACCTTTACTGCAAGAATAAAACAACGTTCAACCTTCAAGCCTGTCTACAGCATAATGATAGAAACACGTTTTCGTGATTCTATCATTATTATTATTATTATTATTATTAGGATATTTACAAATAAGGATAGTAGTCTTTTGATAGAATTAGGTTTATTATTAGGTCCTATCTTTCCTATAAATATGTAATCTGGGTTTCATTATCAATCAAGCAAGAACAATTATTCAGAAAGTATCTCTCCAAAACCCTAATCCTCTATCTCCTAATTTCTCGTTCTCTAGCCCTCTAAGGCTTCGGCCGATTCTATCTTCTACTCTTCTTCTTCCCCAAATTCCCAATCTCAATCCATTTCTATCTTCTAATCCCTAATTCCCCAATTCTCTTCTACAATCCCTAAAATCCCAAATGCCGATCCAATCCGCAAAACCGATAGAAACTATGTTTCTATCACATAATTAGTCAAATTTGAAATGCAAACGTCTGAATTATTTTCAGCCACCAAAGATACCTATTACCATCTGAACATCTCCCTAATGAATTATTTAAAGACATCAGTCTCAATATTAACAGAAATTGGTGATGAAACTGTCAACAAAATGAAAATCATTATTTCCCACCACTTAAATCTGCATATGATGACACCAGAGAGGCAGAGACCAATATACTATCCTATTTTACTTGCCTCATCAACAGTACAAAATGGAACCAATCAAAATCTCCTTTTATTCCACGTCTTCCCTAATACATTCCAGCTCCATTTCAATCAAAACTCTGCTAAACCTAAATTCACCCTGATTTTACGAACTTATTCCCAATGCAATTGCTCAAACCTTAGAACTATTATTCACTAGCAAACTATATTCCACCTATCAAGCCCCAAAGCAAGAACCTTTAAATCCATGATCCAAATATAAGCTTCAGAATTCACACTGAACAGAAAATGCCAACAAAAACGGCTTTCACTATAGATGCGCATACCATCTGAATGACTCATCTCCTTAACAACTCTATCAAAAGGAGATCGGTCACTAGAAACAGGGAAGTTGCAGATGAATCTGTGAGAAAGATGATCATCTTTTTAACCCCACTCCATCACTTTTATGCTGACACTAGACAGCATGGTAGAATCAATCAGCAGCCCGGAGTGGAATCAATCAAATACCTTGCGTCGGATCGAAATCAGTTAAAACTACAGTTCATTCCCAAGCCAGTTGCTCAAAGCTTACAACAAACATTTCACCAACAAACACAATTCTACACCTCAAGCACTCAAGCTAAAGCTCTTTCAACCCATGATCCCACAACAAACCATATTCCCAACTAAGATTCTCAATTTACTTAAACAAAGAGACTAACAATACAAATGGTTCTCACTATAAGATCAGAAAAATGGAACAAACTCAAGCCATTCCCACGAGATAGGGAAAGGTGAAATTTCTCAACACGTTAGCCAAAAAAAAAATGGAGAAAGAAATTTACCTGGAATTACCGGGATCTTCCGTACTGAGAGGAGCGTAAGAGCGGTTAGGATTGAGGAGCGAAGTGCTGACCAACTCAATCACCGGACCACCGCCGCGACCGTCTCTGGTGGAGGAGCTCGTCGAAGCAGACGACAACGGCTGCTGCGATGAAGAAGAGGAGCTCGTTGGGATCCTGACGCTCTTCAACGCGTCCCTGTACTTCCTGAATATCAACGTCCTGTTCCTTGTCGCCATTGATTAAAATCTCGAGATGAAGGGAAAACGGGAAGAAATCCGATGAACTAGTTACAATAGGTACGCGGAATCAGATTCGGGGCGGGGCAGCAGAGATCTGGAATCATTTTTTTTTTCTTTCTCCCTTCGCAATTGGGAGAAACTGAAGTGAAGTGGCGTGATCGGCGATTTTTAGGATGGAATAGGATTAACACGCTTGTTTCCACGGCGGAGGATCAGGCCGCCGGGGCGGAAATTGGGGGAGAAGCGGAGGAAAAACTGCGACGGACGGAAGGGGAGAAAAAATTGACTGACAGACGGGGAAAAAGGACCGACCGGAAAAAGGAATTTAGTGAAAACAAAATTCAGATAGCCAAAAATTAATTAAACAGTAAATCGTCGAGTACTCGAATTCGTTGGCGGTTGGCCCAACAACAGTTATTCCGCTGGGCCCGAAACTAATTGGGCTTGTAGAATTGTTAATGTTGGCTAGCAAGATTAGTATAGCCGAAATGCTGAATTGGGATAAAGTGCTAAATGAGTTAGGTCGTTTGGATGAATCAAAGTGATGAGTCAATGTGCTCAAATTGTCTCATTTGATTGTAAAAAATAAGAATGAGGCAATTGGACATGAGGCAATTGAAATTGCTTCATTATGGGTCATTGTCAATTACTTGGGTGGGAGGGAGGTAATCTACATTGCTACATTTGTGGGTCACTTTTCCCAATCCAACCTCTTTTATTTAATTTTTTTCTTTCTTCCTTTCCCAAAATGGAAAAGGGTAAAAGAATGAGGGCAAATATGTATTTTTATAAAATGTCTCATCACAATTGTCTCATGCCAAATCACAAGGCAAACAAGACAATTATGTAAACATTTCCTCATACAATTAGCTCATTTTTTAAAATGAGACTTTTGTCCCAAATTACCTCATTTTTAGAATGTTCCATCCAAACGACAGCCTATGCTAAAATTAATTGTATTTGTTAGATGGGAATGGGAAGGGAAGTTAAAAGAAATATATATATAATATGAATAGGAACATACGAGGATAGCTTTCAAATAAATAAAACTATCTCACAATCTATTTTTTGGGTTACTTCTTTTTATTTTATTTTTCATCAGATATACTTTTTATATTAATGCACAGAAAAATCATATTTATTTTGCTCTACAATGTGACATCCATTGTTATTTTTTTTTAGCAAAAGCAATCATGTATGTACCTTTGTACAAATTTTGTAAAATATACACGTGTATAGATATTTATTGTACAGAATTTTCATGTACAATTTTTTTCTTGTACAACATTTTCTTATTGAGATATTTACCGTACATAGAGTAAAGTTTTTTATAGAATTTATGTACGAATATTCATTTTCTATACGATGAGTATATATATGTGGTAGGTATGTCGGTGCACCCACTTTACTCTTGACTGTCTCTTAAATATATGGTTTAATCTTGACCCTTAAATATATCTAACATTTGAGAATAATTAATATATTTATAATTAATTATTAACAAATAAAGTATATAATATTTATTAAAAGAATTTATAGTTATTGATAATTGCAATTGGGGACCTAACAGTAATTCACCCCGCAAATTCTGATTTCTACCCATCACAACAAACAATGCTGCTCTCACCAAAACATAAGATCAATTGGCCCGGCGGCGACCATGATCTCAGTTTGACGACCACATGTCCGACAACTGAGAACAAACGTCTTGGTGTCGCCGACTATACATTCCTTGTACAACCATGACAACGAGCAAGAAGCTCTAATGTTGCCACCGGCGAACGCCCGGAGATGACAGGCAGGATCCGGGCGTGGATCGGCAAGAAAGCATACACGAGGCCCTACCAAATTGCTTTCAAAAATGGAGGAAAGCGCCAAATTGAACAGAATAGAAATGAGTCCTTGTGTGGTGGGTTTGTGCTACTTTGTTCGTGTAGTTTAATATGTAGGGGAAGGCTTCAGTTCGAAGGGGTCAACAGATTTTTGTTAGTGCTGATTGGGTCTGGGGCGATACTCAGACGTCAATTTCATTGATTACAAGCTGTACATAAGACTATGTTGGAGACCTCGTTTGTGGATGCAAGAATAGAAACATAAGACTTAAGAGGTTGAAGAAAGGAAAGACTGTGTGTTGATCGAGAGTGTCGGCTGATCCCTCCAACTTCGTCGAAGCTCTAATAACATCTAAGTTTAGCCAATTTCCTAAATAAATGAATGCAAATAGGAGACGCTGTGTGGCCAGAAGGGGAGTCGAACTGGGCAGAAGCTTTGATAAAGGTAGAGAGGTTCCCCTGTTGTAGCCTCGTCGGGAACAGGTAGCACCTGAAGGTAGTTTTATTTCTATTTTTATTTGACTTATGCTAATTAACCGTTTGATCTTAATGTCCATTATTTATCTATTTTAAATAGGTTTGTAGTTTTAGAAGGCTCAAATGTGAAAGACACCTTCATTGTTGAGGATAATGTTGTGGCTGAACAAATTGTTATTCATGAAAAAAGAGGGGAAAAGAATCGCAGAAGAAGAGGGTTAGGTGCCTAATGGTTAATCCTGAACAAATTGTTACCTCGGGACTTCAAGGAGAGATGAAGGACAAGGATATGGGTTTCAACAACCACCTCTCCATCCTCACCAACCGTACTCTAATGGTTACTGAGCTCCACCACCATCATTTCATGAACCACCTCAACAATCTAGGATAAAGACCAAGTTTGAGATGACCCTTGAGCAAGTTGAGTCGAGTATGAAGCAAGTGGAGGGGATCGAGACAACTCGTCCAACTCTAATCCCGTAACCAAAGTACCTCTTGAAGCTCGAATTTGATGGATTCATGGTCGGGAGTGAGAGGGCACTCACCCTCCACCTCTACCGATGCCCAACAACCTTAAAGAGTTGCCATCCGAGCACTAAACATCCCAATGGAGTTCCTAGATGCTAGTGATCCCAAAGAAATCAAAAGAGAGGAATGGTGGCTCAAAGAGGTGGAGACCAAAGGGACACCTTCCATCATAGGAGTCCCTACTCTTCTACTCAAGAAATCCTCGTTGAACATGAAGAGTTGCTCAAGAGTGTGGAAGAGAAGAAGAGAGATCTCAAACAACTTTGTTCGAGAATCAAGCAAGATCGCCTATTTGACATCATATATAAAGAGAAAGAGGAAGTGGTAGAAGAGGAAGGAATCTCGAAGGTGGACAATCAAGTGGACCTTGACAATCCATCTATTGATAAACTTGCTTAGAGGACCATAAATGTTCCCAATCAACAAAAAGCAATGGATAAAACGGGAGCATTGATGATGTTATGAGGAAAGAAAAAGAAAGTGAAGAAGGAGAAGAGCTTGGTACTCAACACAAGATTCTTCACAAGAAAGAGAGGATGTTGAAGATGCAAATGGAGTCCAATTAATGGACAAGGTCGAAGTGAATGAAATATCCACAAGTTACATGTACTACCAAAGCTTTCACATGACCTTTATACACTCTTGGAGAAGGACCCTTGTGTGGTTTCTCTTCTGCCAAATTAAGGCCATACCATTGTCAATCCCTCTTGGTGGATTCAATGGTAGTCAATCAAGGTTGTTGTTGATGTCGGGGTTGTAACCGACGTCGAATTTCTTATGTTGGGCACCAGAGTCGGTCGACGACCACCTTTCACCTCGAACTTCACTTATGATGTCAACTCTAGTAGTATCTTACAAAAAAGGTCTGTCAGCCGATATCGCCGCAGACACTCTCTGACACTCAAGTCAGTGGATGAGTTGAGGGAGGAGGAATATGACCTCGAAAAGAAAGATGAGGGAACGGAGTTGAGAGTGATATATGCGCTAATCATAGCAAGAGTTCACGAGTCTATGCATGGGGATTTTTGCTTACCTCAATCTGGAGACGAAGTGGCCTTATATAGAGGCCTCCAGGTGACAAATAAAGGGAGAGTATGTGTCTCCCTTAGGAGCTTGGTGGTGTGGAGAGAGGACACGTTGCAAGGGTACATGGCTAAAGGTTGTATGTGACCTGGGGTGGGCAGAGAGCCCAAGGTGGTTGAGGTGAACCGGGGTGGTTGACCATGGGGGGGGACCGAGGTGACCCAACGTAATTGATCCAAGGGTGGCCGGAGTGATCCCAAGGTGACCCAGAGTGACCCCAGGGTGGGTCAGGTGACCCGATTTAATTGGCTCCGGTGTGGCCGGAGTGACCCCAAGGTCACCTAGGGTGATTGACCCGGGGTGACAGGAGTAACCCCAAGGTGACGTGGAGTGATTGACCCAATGGTCCAGAGAGACCCCGGGGGTGTCCGGAGTGACCCCAAGGTGACCTAGGGTGATTGAACCCGAGTGACCAAAGTGACCTTGGGGAGGGCTAGGTGAACCGAGGTAATTAACCCTGAGGTGGCAGGAGTAACCCCAAGGTGACTCGGGATGATTGACCCTGACAGGCTAGAGAGACCACGGGGTGGCCGGAGTGACCCCAAGGTGACCCAGGGTGGGGTAGATGACCCGGGGTAATTGACCCCGAGCTGGCCGGAGTGACCCCAAGGTAACCTAGGGTGGTTGACCCCGGGTGGCCAAAGTGACCTTGGGGTGGGCTAATTGACCCGAGGTAATTGACCCTGGTGTGGCCGGAGTGACCCCAAGGTAATCTAGGGTGATTGATCGTGTCTGGCCGGATTGACCCAGGTGACCTGAGGTGATTGACCCCAAGGTAGCTGGAGTTAGGGCTGCAAATGAGTTGAGCTGTTCGCGAGCGGCTCGGTGTTCGACTCGAGAAAAGCTCGTTCGAAACTCGACTCGTTAATAAACGAGCCGAACATGAGCTAAGCTTTCTTCAGCTCGTGAAGCTCGCGAGCTAGCTCGACTCGGTATCTTGTTGAGCTAAACTCGTGAGCTGGCTCGTTTAGAGCTCATGATATGTCTCAACATGTGGCTAGAGAGCCAACTCGATTACCGACTTATGGACGAATCAATCTATATCTTATGTTTTTAATTCATATGGTTGTTAAATTATATATCTCACCATATATAAAGTTTAAAACGTTCAGTATGTGAGAAAATATATCTTATTTTCTACTTTAAAAAAATTATGTATCATAAATTGCTTCGTTACTATGAAATAACATGATTTGGAGTAGTTAAAATTTATTAACTAAATGATATATGATACCAACAAAGTATAATATGATATTAGCTAACAAAATAAATCATGTGTATAATGATATACAAAATGAAGTACCAAATAAAAGTTAAGATTTTAGTAAACAAGCTAGCTCGAACTCGACTCGACTCGGCTCGTTAATAAACGAGATGAGCTCGAACTCGACTAGTTTATTAACGAGCCGAGCTCAGGCTGGGGTAAAACTCGACTCGGCTCGGCTCATTTGTAGCCCTAGCCGGAGTGACCCCACGGTGACCCGAGGTGGTAGACCCCGTGGCGGAGTGACCCCGAGGTGGGATTCGTGACCCGGGGTGATCCCCCCATGGGGAGGCCGGAGTGACCCTAAGGTGACCCCGGGTGGCCGGAATGAACCTGGAGTGGCCGTGGTGACCCGGAGTGACCCCGAGCTAGCTGATTATGGACTGTATGGGAACACTTTCATCAAATTAGATTTTATATTGGGTCCATCAGTTTCCCCCCTTGTCGTCGTAAACATCTAACGAAGGAGATTTTGCGGCGACAATCATATTTTTTATTGGGCTCTCGGAAATCCTTGACAAGATAACGAACCAATTGTGATTCTTATATTTCAAAGGATAATAAATTATGTGCCAATCATGCTTCAAGAGTTCGGAGCTATTATAGACTAAACCAATCTTAGATCTTGAGATATATTTATAAAAACATCTAACCAGTTTGGCTCGTTCAATTTGAAGGGTGGATTCGAGCCGATAACGGTCTATTGTACAATCTCTGAGCCAATGTTGGTTCATTATACAGTTGGTGATCAACAAATTTTGGCTAACACATGTATGAAACGAACCAATCTTAGCTCGTTATGTGGAGAGGATTTGAACTAATATTAGATCAATCTTGACCCATTTGAATGGAGATAATGAAAAAATGTTAATGAATGGAGATAATGAACAAATTTTGTTCATGCCTTGAGCAGATGTACTAAACTTGCCATAGAATAAGCATGCATTTATTTTGGCATTGATTATGGCATCAATGGCAGTCAGGTGTCAACGATTATGATGATAACATCAAGATGACAATACTTTGATGTGGGTGAAACATACTGTTATCATGATGATGACAAATAAGATGACAGTTGATGGGGGCGTCACATAAGATGGGGATAGAGCCACAATAGCTATAGTGACCACGACAATATAGTGTCGATAGGTGTTTGGTGGCTTCATGTTGCAGCTGTTGTAAGGTATTGAAAATTTCTCCCAACCCTAGTGCAATGGTTGAGAGATGACTCTCCCAATACCCAGGAAGTACTCTAGTGGACCCAAGTCTTTGATAATGAACTCTTTGTATAGATGATTCTTAAATTGCTGGATGGTGTCAAGATCACTTCCACCAAGCACCACTCATCTACATAGATGAGTGCAAACGTGAACGCATTGCCTCTCTTGTACGTGAACAAGGAGTGATATGCACGAGACTGACTGAAATCAAACCGCTGAAGGGATTCAGTGAACTTCAAATACCAGTTACGTGATGCTTGCCTCAAGCCATACAGAGATTTTCGAAAACGAAAAACCCGTTGGTCCCCTGGTCGAGTAAATCCCTGCGGAACAACCATGTAGACCTCCTCATCAAGGTCACCATGAAGAAAGGCATTGTTGACGTCCAACTGATGGAGGAACCAACCTTTCTGAGCAGTGATAGCCAAAACACAACGAATAGTAACAAGTTTGGCAACAGGCGCAAATATATCGTGGTAATCAACACCTTCAACTTGGGTGAACCCCTTGGCCACGAGACGCGCTTTGTAGCGCTCAACTGTCCCATTGGGACAAAACTTGATCTTATACACCCACTTGGCAGTGATTACGCACTTTCCAGGGGGAAGAAAAACGAGGTCCCATGTGTCGTTCGCCTGGAGTGCCTCAATTTCACGTTGCATGGCTTTACACCAACATTCATGCTGAACAGCCTCGTAGAAGTTACGAGGCTCGGTCTTGACGGTCAGTGCTGCAACAAAGGCAGAGTGATTGGGGGACAAACGAGAATAGTTAAGGACATCCGAGAGAGGATACTGAACCGTGTGAACTTAACTAAAATAAGGAAGCATGGCCTCGTAGTCCTCGCGCAAACGAGTAGGAATCACGTGCTGGCGCAAGCTGTAGCGAGGAGCAGCAGTATCGGGCTCCACAACGGAAGGCTATGCGAGAGAGGGTCAAGTGGAGTGCACAGGGGAGGCAACACCAACCGCCTCCTCTTCATCATCGCTCGGCCCATGAACGACGTCTGGCGAGGGTTTCACGTCGACGGGCACAGACGGAGGAGCTTGGGTAGGAGACCCAACCTCGTTCACAATGGAAAATCTTCAGTATGAGTAGCCAAAGAGTGAAAAGGAAACACACTTTCACAAAAGGTGACATCGCGGGAGGTGAAGATACGTCGACTCTCCATATTGTAGACACGCTATCCCTTCTGACCAAGAGGGTAACCAACAAATAAGCAAGCTCTCCACCGTGCCGCGAACTTATCAAGGTGGTGACTCATGTTTTTGGCATAGACTAGGTAGCCAAAAGTGTGAACGTGACTGTAACAGGAGATCGGCCAAATAAACGTTCGAAAGGAGTTTTTTCGTCGAGGACACGTGAGAGCAAAAGATTAATCAAATACGCCGCGGTTAAGACGCACTCGCCCCAAAACCGAAGGGGTAAGTTCGCATGAATTCAGAGAGCACAAGTCGTTTCCAGTAGGTGACGGTGTTTCCTCTCGACGATCCCATTTTGTTGAGGGGTGCCAACACAGGAGGTTTGAAGGAGTATACCCTCATGCTCGAAGTACTCCTTGAGGAGGGAGGACTGAAATTCCCAACCGTTATCAGCCTGAATTCTCTGAATGGACTGCCCATGTTGACGGACAACCTGATTACAAAACTTGATCAGATAGCAAGCCACTTCCGATTTGTATCGTAATAAATAAACCTAGACACCACGATTGTAGTCGTCAACAATGATGAGAAATTAATGAGCTCCACTAAGAGAAGGAACCCGATAACCTTCCCAAATATCAACATGTACTAACTCAAACGGCCAGATACTCTTTATTGAACTCAATGAAAAGAATCCCGAGTCTGTTTAGCTCGTAAACAAGCAGAACAACTTTCTTTAGGTAACCGATGTGTAGGAGAAAATAAATGCAACATAGAAACTTGATCTCCAGAGGGGTGGGCGAGACGTGAATGCCATAGCTTTGGTGAGGCAGCCTACCTCCCATGCGTTGCATTCACCATGGCTTCTTTAACTTCATCGAACAGACGCAAGTGATATAGGCGATCCCGCTGCTTACCCATCCCAATCATCTTCTTGCAGTGTAAGTCCTGTAGCACACAGAAATCATGCATGAAGATCAATGTTATGGGAAAATCCTTGGTAAGACGACTAACTAACAACAAATTGCACTTGAACTATGGCACGAGCAACACACGGGGCAAGACCATCTCGTTGCTCAACTCAACCGAACCAACCTTGCCTACCCCAACCTTATCACCATTCGGAATACTAACTTGCAAGTCAGATGGAGCGACACCACGAAGTAATAAAGACCGATCCCGAACAATATGCTCATTGCATCCGGAGTCGAGAATCCATTCATCAAGTGTAGAGAAAGTACCTTGCATATTAAGAGCGATGGAATCCAAGGATCCACCATCCCCCTTTAAGAAGGCCCGAAGCTGCTCAAGCTATGATAGAGATAATCCCGACACCGGACTCTCACCAACTTCGATGTTGGCTGCACGAGGACTAGGATGTGGCCGATCAGTGGGTTTACGCTTTGCACCTGCATCGCCCCCTTTCTCAGGCCAGCCAATCAAATTGAAACATCGCTCTTTCATGTGCCCTATCTTGTTGTAATGCGTACACTTGGAGTGCTCCCGTTGATCAGTGGAGGCTGGGAAGTGTCTCGGGTAAAGAAAGCGACATCTTTAGGAGCGGCCCGATTAGTAGAGGCGATGCGGCTCTGGTGAGCATCATTGATAACAAGTTGGTATGCCTCAGACATGCTAGTCATGGACTTCATGGTGAGAATGTGAGTTTTTACATTGGAGAACGACTCGTCAAGCCCCATAAGAAAATCAAACAACCAAAAATTCTGTTCCCGAGCTTCATTCTTTTTATCCGGTCCACAAGTACATAAACCACAGGTATAAGAGTGAAGAGGGGCCATGCTTTGTACCTCTTCCCAAAGGGAGCACAGCTGGGTGTAGAAAGCTTGAACGGAAAGCTTTTCTTGAGGAAGGAAACTGATCATGCGCCGCACCTCATAGACATGGGTAGCACTGCCTTGAGGAAACCGTTCACGAAGATCATCCCACATATCATGAGCGGTTTTGGCGTGGCACATCCCACGATGCACTTGATTGTTGATCTCACCAGTCAACCAACCATTCACCATGGCGTCGACACGGTGCCAGCTGCACCGGGTCCGTAGGTTCAACGATACCACCATCGACGAAGCCCAATTTGTTCTTTTCCAAAAGGGAATTCGTCATATCATGAATCCATTCGGCATAATTGGATTCATTGAGAAGTTCACCAACATAAACTTGATTAGGATTGTCAGACTGGCTAAGAGACATAGTAGACGAGGGATTCACCTCATACAAACCAGCACCACTGTCGTCGCTGGACGTGGCAATGACCTTGTCCTTTGTGTCGCCGCCTGTCATGCTTCAAACAGGTACGTAGATCATCTTCACAACTCTGATACCATGATAAAAACGATGCGGAAGAAGAAAACAAGACGATGATTTACGTGGTATCCCCGTTCGTAAGAACGAGACTAATCCACGGCAAGCTCGCTCAAGGAGCTTGCGATACTTTTATTAGGTTTTCAACCAAGAACTACACCTTTCA